TGTCAGGCGTGCCAGGCTTCTGGTTGCCTGGTTCACTTTGCTTGAAATGGAAGTCCTTGCCAGCTATGGAGTATAGGAAGCAACCAGACATCTACTTAAGGAGTTGTGCAGTGTTCACAAAGAACACTTGTGTGAAAGAGCGACAATTGGATGAGTGTACGGTGTACTCTTTGTGCCTGACTCCAGAATTTGATTAGTACGGGTATAAGATGTTCTGTGGTAATAGTATTTGTAACTCAGAAAGCAGTGGGGAGGGTTTCATAGAGCTGTGGTTATGTGTACTACCAGAGCAACATGTTTTTTGTTTGCCTTTCATGGCATCTGACCCTACTTTGCAAGAATCATAGGTAGCACAGGCAGTTCCTCAGGTGTGTTACCATTCTGCAAGAATAATCAATATTTTGAAGAAGAAAGGAAAGTCAAACAAGTTCAGGGCAAGCATTGGTATTTTTTATCTGACTCCAGTCAAGGGAATTCAGGAAAATTGGAAGCATATGGTAGATTGTTTAAGGGACCGGGATGTGGTTTCTTTGGCTCATTGCAGAATTCAACTCAAAATTCAGTTCAAGCAAATGAATGATCCCTGATTGTGAGAGAATCAAACACTGAAGACAGTGCAACTTGATTTCACTGGAAAATTGAGCTGGAAGGTTAGTTTGCTCTTCAGTGTGGAAACATTCTTTTCATTGTCTCTGGCTTCCAAGGGGAAGTTTTTGCCACTGTCCCACAGTACAGGGGAGCAGCTAATATAGCATTGTATATTGATTAGTCAATAATTAACTGCAAGGGATGGAAACTGCCTGTTTGATGGACGTTGGACCTTCTTGTTTGGATCAAATCATAACAAGGGTCGGGTTTACTGATTGTGTAAGGGATGAGACAGCAGAATCTCTCTGGACTCTGTTCACATTATTTCAGTGGGGAACAATATTGTGGGGAACAATATTACCACTGAAAAGGAGGGGTCAGTAGGGGAGGCGCTCACATCATGTTTGGTCTTTAATCTTGGAAAGTTGTTCCTAGGGTTCCCTTTTTTGTTCCGCCTTGAAGAGAGCTTTTTTTTTTTTTAAATTTAGCCCTCCTCAGTTGAAATATAGAGATCTCCAATGTAGCTTCAGTCTCTTAGATTCTGAGAAATGAAAGGGGCTTTTTCCCAGAGGCACTTAAGGAAGCAGTGGTGCGCCCCTCCTGAAAAAGCCATCTCTGGGTCCAGCCGAGTTGGTCAACTATCAGCCGGTTTCCAACTTGCCCTATTTGGGCAAGATAATAGAGAGGGCAGTGGCAATGCAGTTACAGGGCTTTCTGGATGACACTTCCATTTTAGATCCCTTCCAGTCTGGTTTTTGCCTGGGCCATGGGACGGAGATGGCACTGGTCACCCTCACAGACGACTTCCAGAGACCTCGGGGCGGATCGGCAGTGGTGTTGTTAGATCTGTCGGCCGCATTCGACACATTCGACCATCAGCTACTGATCCGCCACCTTGCCGACATTGGAGTTCAGGGACTAGCCTTGCAGTGGTTTGCTTCCTTCCTCCAAGACCGGGGACAAAGAGTGGTGCTGGGGGATCAGCTGTCCCGAAGGCACCCATTGGAATGTGGAGTGCCTCAAGGGGCGGTGCTGTCTCCGATGCTTTTAACATCTATATGCGCCCTCTTGCCCAGATTGCCCGGAGGCATGGACTGGGTTGTCACCAGTATGTGGATGACACCCAGCTCTATTTGTTGTTGGATGGCCAGTCCGACTCCAAACCGGAAGACCTAGCTGTGGCTGGTTGGCTTAGGCTGAGCCAGCTGAAACTGAATCCGATGAAGACAGAGGTCCTGTGCCTGAGTTGGAGCAGTCCAAGGGTAGGGATCCCACTTCCGACCTTCGACGGGGTACCACTTGTGCCAGCACCGGAGGTTAGGAGTTTGGGAGTGCTCCTAGATGCCTCCTTAACAATGGAGGTCCAGAAAGCAGCCACTGCCAAGTCGGCCTTTTACCATCTTTGGCTGATCAGGCAGTTGGTTCCCTTCCTTGAATGCAATGACCTGGCAACAGTGATCCATGCGATAGTCACCTCGAGACTGGATTACTGTAATGCCCTCTACATGGGGCTGCCCTTGTCGCAAATCCGGAAGCTGCAGCTGGTGCAAAATGCCGCGGCCAGATTGCTGATGGGAATCCCGGCTTGGGAGCACATCCGACCTGTGCTAAAGATGTTGCACTGGCTGCCTATAGCATACCGGGTTTGCTTCAAGGTGCTGGTTCTCACCTTTAAAGCCCTTTATGGCCAGGGACCTGCATACCTGAGGGACCGCCTTTTGCCATATGTACCCCAGAGGATGCTGCGATCTGGGACCCAGAATTGGCTGGCTCTCCCGAGTTTCAAGGAGGCCAGACTGATGGCAACTAGAGCTGGGGCTTTTTTGGTGGTGGCTCCACTCTGGTGGAATGAACTCCCAGAAGAGACCAGGCCCCTGCGGGACCTTTTACAGTTCCGCAGGGCCTGTAAAACGGAGCTCTTCCACCAGGCTTTTGGAGCTGCCACCACTACTACCTCTACCACCAACAATTGACACCTATGTTGGTGGAACCCTGACCCGCTGGACCCTTAAATACTGCCTGACCCAATCACCCGAGACAGCTGAAGAAGACCAAGGAGTTGACCGTAAAATGAGGAATGTTTGCTAGCACTTTATTATATCTTGGTTTTAACATTGTATTTATATTAATTGATGTGATTTTATGCTATCATATTGTCGGAATTTAACTTGTCTCTAAGCCGACCTAGGCCAAAAGGGCGGGATAAAAATCTAATAAATTAATTAAATGAAAAAATAAATTGTGCTATGGATACAAATTAATTGCTGTGGATACAAACTAATAGATGGGAATGCTGCCATAGCTGCATAGTTTGAGAAGCCTTTTGCACAGGGAAAATAGGAGATTGGAGAACCGGAGAGAGGATGGGTCAGTCTTAGAATGCACAGGAGAAGAATTTGGTAACTAGTCTGGGGCAGGAAAGGAGCCAGGCTGACCATCTTGGATGGGATCGGGGCTGTCTTCCCAGACAGTGAGAAGGGGATTCTTTACGTCAGTTTTATTTCATGTAACTAAGGCCGAATCTACATATGCATTTTAGAATCAGCTTGGTGCCGCTGTTATCCCATGTGGTTTAGAACTGCTGCGCCTCTGCTTTCAAGTTAGCATATGTCTTTTTTCCAGTTATCTAATCACAATCTATTGTTCATCACTAGATGGCCCCTGGGGGTTACTGGAGTGTTCTGGGACTGGAATGAGAGGCCCCACAGTGGAATGGGGTTAGCAGGAGTATTCTGGGACTGGAATAACTGGCTCCAGAGTGGAATGACAGCCCCAGGGGGTAGGAGATGTGTCCTGGGACTGTAATGATAGACCGGGCATTCCAGTTCCAGGACACTCCTCTTACTCCAAGGGGATGTCATTCCACCATTGGGCCTGTCATTCCACTCCCAGAACACAACTGCTACCCCGAGGGGGTCATTCCACTCTGTGATCTCCCATTCTAGTCAAAGAACACTCCTGGTACCTCCAGGGGCTGTCATTCCACTCCGTGGTCTCTCATTCCAATTCCAGAACACTTCTGTTACTCCTAGGGGCTGTCATTCCTGTGAACTTAAAACCCTGTGAACTTAAAAATGAGAAACGCCATGACTACAAGGCAGGAATTGCAACTTTTTGAGCCAAATGCAAGCGTATTCGAAAAAGCTGCTGACTGTGCATTGCCCAGTCATATTCAGTGATTATAAATTTAATAAACAGATAAATTTCAAATAAAAATTTTTGAGGACTGGTACATAGCAATGAGTAAAAGCAGCCATGTAGGAATCAAACCAACAATGCCCTGATTTACAGGACAGGAATTTACCCACTGAGCTAAACACGAGGTCCTGTGTTTTACTGCTGAGTGTGCCTCCTACAGCTCATAGTAAATCCCCCCCCCCCCCGGGAAACCCCCCTCGTGAACTTTAAAATGTCCCATAAATCGGGTGTGTGTGGGTGTCAAGAAAATAAATGGTTTGAAAGCGGATAGATAAGTTTTGGAAGATAAGATTTGAGGGCTGGTACATAGCTATGAGGAAATAGAGCCAAGCGGGAATAAAATTAGAAACGATATTTCTGGATTTAAACATTTTGAGATAAAGCAAGCTCTTACTGCATCAGTAGTGAACTTTAAAATGTTCAGTCGGTCTGTAAAAGGGGTCAAGAAATAAACGCTTCAAAACAAGATTTTTAAAAATTAAATTATTTGGGGGGCTAGCTAGTAAAAAGAGAAAAGAGTACTGTTGGAATCAAACCATGAGTTACCGCCTAGTTTATTGTGCAATGAAACCAGAAAGGAGGGGTTAGAGCAGCAAAGAACAGCATTCATTTAAACCAGTGCGGAGCGGCTATGACAATGGAGTCACTACCAGAGGGCGGGAAACATATGCAGACACTGGTTTTTATACTGGCGCACTGCCAGCATAAAACCAGATGCAAATGTAGACTGTTGGGGGACGGGAGCGAAAATGTGAGGAAACCGGCAAGAAACACACATGTGGATTCGACCTAAATGGCATCACTGAAAGAATTTTCCCACCTCGAAGACACATAAAACTTACAAAAGTATTAGAGGACTGTGGTAACAAAAAGGGCTTATTTACATGTCAGATTAGTGGCAGCAGCATCCCAAGGCATCACTTCTCCTGGGGCAACATGCTGCTCTCCATTGGAATCTGTGTTATTTTCTCTTTCCCCTGGAACCTCTGGGAACTCCCCCCCCCCAACTTCCCTAGCTGCATCATCCAGGCAAACTGAGTTCATGATTTTTTTCCAAGGGGCTGAATGTGCATGAGGAGTTAATAATTAATGAACTGTCATCAAGAGACTGTTTCTGGACCCCCCAGTGTTGGGCGTGTGGGACTTTTGCCCTGTTCAGCTTCCTGTGGCTGATTCAACAGCTGGGCAATAGCAAGAGGAGACAGTGCCTCATCATGGCAGCTGCCTTGGAGCAGTTCTGTGGCTCTGTTTTCTGGGTAAGTGGTGGCTTCTCACTCAGTTTGTGGCAGGGGTTGACACAGTGAACCTCTACCAATCTGAGCTCCACAGCATGCCCTGAAGTGTGAGAGCATGGACGAGAGCCTTGGCTAGAGCTGTTTGGGAACTGGAATAGCCGGGGATGTTACTGTGTAGTCTGCATGCACAACAAAAGCCAAGCCCTTTGGTCTGTACGGCTGGTAAGGTAAAGAAACCATCTTTGCGTGCTGATCTTTGGAAGGGAGTTTTTCCCCTGTCTTGGTAAGTGACAAGCCTCCTCCCCTGCTCTTTCCGCTTTTAGGAAGTTTTCTCCCTGCTTTCATTAGTATGTCTTTCTCAACATCTAGTGTCTTCAAGGACAGAGTGGGTGTCAAAAATGAGGGAAGATGTTAGGCTTATGTCAAGACAAAATGTGACGACTCATGCAGGCAACCTTGGCTAAATCTGTTATCTAAGTAGAGGAGAGAAGATAAAGGACTGACAAAGGAAAATTCTACTTTAGTCAATGAGTAATTTTATTGTGGAATTCACTGCCACTAGATGTAATCATGGCCACAAGCATAGGTGGCTTTTAAAGGGGGTTAGATAAATTCTTGGAGGATTGGTCTGTCAGTGACTGCTAGCGATGGTGGTAAACCTCTAAAGCCCAAAGCTAGGAGGCAACATCAGGAGAGAGGGTCTTGACCTCTGTGCCCTGTTTATTGCCCCTCCAGGGCAACTGGCTGGCCACTATGTGAAACAGGATGCTGGGCTAGATGGACCTGTAGTCTGATCCAGTGGGGCTCTTCTTGTATTCTTAAGATTTATAATTCTTGTGGAGAAGGAGATGGTGTGGTTAGAAAAGGCTGACTTGAATGATTAGAAATACCATAAGGTATTTCCTTACAGGACAGTATTACTTCAGCTTGTAGCAGGAAAAGGGAAATAATGTGTTTTATTATTCCCTCCATATAAAATACTAGCCTGGTTCACTCATTACAGTACATACATGCTGTTTGTAAGAAACAGCCAACGTGTGTTCACTTTACAAATGACACTGGGGACCAGTACGTGGATGAATGTGTGGTTTCAATCACACATTCAGCTGTACATACGTTGACCTTACTCAACATGTGTAAAGAAAACTCAAGTGTGTACCATACACAGATTGTATGTACATTCACTGTAACTTGTGAACAGGGCTAACTTCTGCCCATGAAATGTGGACATGTCTGGGAATAGTTTCTAGCCTAATCTTCCTTTTGGTATTTTCCTAAAGAGCTTTTGTCTTAGGGCAGCATTATCCTGAAGTTCTACACCCTCGGGTTGGCAAGAGGTACCACATTGTATATCAGAGCATGTAGTTTTGCTAGCAGATATAAGGAGTCTCCTTAACTACAGTCACTCAAGACGCTCCTCAAAAAGCAGATCTGAGCCACTGACTTGTGTCAGCTCAGCAACCCAGGGCATGTAAGAAACTCCAGAAGGGTGGCTGTGTTTGTAACAAAATTAAACATTGGCAGGGTTTCTGGGCATGGAATTTTGAATTTGAGGAGCGTCTTGAGTGACTGTAGTTAAGGAGTCCTGGACACATAGGAATGTGTTTGATCAACTATATCTCATGAATGGAGCTGTCTGAGCTGCCTCTGCTTTCTTCTAGAACTGTCCCATCTACCAACAGTGGTTCTCTTGTCAAGGAAAGCCTAACTTGGCTTTAACTGCTTTGTCATTTCCCTGATTATGTTTATGTGTGTTTTGGGGGCCTGAAATGCTGACCTCTCCAGTAAGAAATTTCAAGCTGTCAAAGCAAATTCTAAAGGCCTGTTTGTGTTAAATAATCTCAAACTGTGGGTAGAAATGTAATTTCTAGAAATTTTGAAGCTTCTTGGAAATTTTGGGGGGGAATTGAAATACTTTCTTTTGTATTGAGCTGAAATTTATTTTGCTGCTTTAATAGCATAAAATGCATAATTTATAATGCAGCGTTTAAAATATACCAAATACTTGAGAGAGTGAATCAGCTGAAAACTTCTGCACTGTGTGCTACCTTAGCATATGTATCTTAGTTTTTTGCCATCTGAGAGGTAGGAAAACATAAAATCTGGAACCAGAAAACAGCTTTTGTAGTACACAAAAAAGTGTATTATTTGGGCAGAAAGACAGTCACAATAGGACTAGCAACAAATTTGAATATTAAGTTAAACTTTATAATATTGGAAACACTGAACTCTTCAGTAGTGTATTGTCATCATACACATTATAGCTTATTGAACAGGGGACAAAATTAGTCTGTCACATTTAAACAATGATCAGCCAGTATGGTGTAGTGGTTAAGGATGGTGGACTCTAATCCGGAGAATTGGGTTTGATTCCCCACTCCTCCAGATGAAGCCTGCTGGGTGACCTTGGGCCACTCACAGTTCTCTCAGCTCTCTCTAACCTACCTCACAAGGTGACTGTTGTGGGGAGAGACAGGGAAGGCAGTTATAAGCTGCTTTGAGACTCCTTAGGGTAGAGAAAAGCAGGGTATAAAAACCTACTGTTCTTTTTGAAAATAAGCTGTGTATGTTTACAGTATATACAAAATTTTTCGTGATCTAATCCTGTATATTTTTTTTATTTCTTTTCAATATAACAACGGATAGATACAATACACAGACATCTATAAATACATTGAAACGTTAAATCACCAACCAAGCCTACAAATGATAATTATTGCTACTAACATCTAAACTAACCCTTAGTTATGAATTTCCACTTCAATTTAGCATAATACTGGAATCCAGTAAATTTCCCATCCTGTGATTTCCCCCCGCCCCATTGCAGTTAGTTTTGGCTACTTCAGTGCATCCCATCCCTTTTCAGCCAATCTACTTTTTTCCCCAACAACTGGCTAGCACCAACCTTTCAGTTGTTAACAAGTTTTAGTGCTGTAGGTTGTTACTCAAAATATATAGCATGAAAGTTTTACGTAACACCTTGTCTTTAATAGCTTTTCACTCATTTTAAAAGAGGAAATGTTTCATGGGATTTCACCCCCCCCCCCCCAAGATCTCTCCCAGATTTCAAGGGTCAGATGATGTGGAGGATTTCTGCTGACTGGAGTGGGTGGGTGGATATATATTTTTTTTGCCAATTCCAGTCTCTGCAGAGCTCATGCTGATCCTGGGGGTTCCCTTTCTCCCCGGGAGCTGTATTTTGAGAGACACTCAGAGCTGGAGTAGCAGGGAGGCGAGGATGACACAATCTATTGGTGGAAATCCTTTTGTCCATGAAAATGTTCAGAGGGAACCGAGCCCCAGTTTTTCCATTGAAAAAAAAATTAAAATAGAATTTTCTCAGGAAAAAATGGGGGGGGGGACCCTTTCCCCTGCGTTTTTCCAGTTTTTTCCCCCCTGGGCCTTCACATCTCTGCCTGCAGTCTCTAGGGGGAATCCAGCCAACTTCCAAGTAGCATTTCTCCAGTCCAAGGAGTCTTCTTGCAATGGCAGAACCACTGAAGTTGGAGGAAGGCTCCTTAGATTGACGGAGGGTTTCAGACTTGAGCCAAAAGGAGAGATGGTTTAAAAACATTTTAAGAAATAAATAATAAACTTGGTTCAGTGGAGAGGTAGGATGGGGTAGGATCTACCTCTCTGGATTCTACTAGACAAGCTGTCTTTAAAGGAACCATATTTCCTGATTGAATTTTTCCAGTGCCTCCAGAATTTAATATCCAACTACCATTTACATACAGTTAAGCCAAATTCCATTTTATTTGACAGAGATCATGGGGTTTGAATGCAGTATCTATCACACTGGTTAACAGAAACCATCACCTGTGAAGACATGGGTGACAATATCCTACCATGTCTTACTGACAGGGTGGGACAGCCAAAGTTTCTTCAAGGGAGAAGAAAACATGTTACTTGGGCTGCTCAGTCAGTGAAGGGACAGAGAAATGGAGAGAAAACCATGTCTCCGAGGGTGGGAAATGGGTGGGGTGCATCATGGATGTAAATAAAGGTAGACATGAACCAACCGATCATACAGCACAAAAAGAAAATCCTGTAACAGAGAACAAATGTCATCTGTACTGGGGTTGTGTTGAGATGTGTTGTGCAAATGAGGTTAGTTCTTGAAGATGATGTGGCACATTGTGGCAAACTCATGACAAATGCTGTGGAACTGGAGTTGTTGTGACTGCTATGGATAAGACCATGGTTGTTATCAGACCAGAGCCCCAGTACATGCACAGTACCTTGAGATCCTTGCTGAAAGGGTGGGATTAACATATATAGCTAAGGATAAGGGATAGTGGTGTGTGATACAGATATGTGTGGCATACCAGCCAATATTTGGGCAGGTGAAGGACTGCAATAGAACTGGGCCTATGACAGGAGCCTCAGTTGTCTGTCTTTGATACCTTCAGAACTCCTCTTTCCTGGATCGTGACGATGCTGACCTGCCACTCTGCTTTGAGCAGACTGTTCTCACCTGGGTCCCTCTGGGGTTTGTCTGGCTCTTTGGTCCATGGCAGCTTCTCCCTATGTGCAGATCCAAGAGAAAGAAATCATCAGTCACTCGCATTTACTTCACTAAGCAGGTGGGAGAGAAGAGGGTTTGTAATGGGGTGGGCAGAGGGCGATCAGCTTCAACCAGGCACCAAGAGTCTGTGTTTAATTGGTGATGGTGGGGTGGGAAGTGGAGAAAAGGTGCAAGGTGTAATAGGTTTGGAGGTGTCTTTCAAGGGAGGGAACTAGTGGAGGGTAGGGCATGTAATGGTGCTCTTGGAGAAGCTGCTAGTGCGGTCATTGTTACTTCATAGATGGTTGGGATCTTTTCCTGCAGGCACTGCAGGAAGCTGATTGGAAGCTACTTGCAGCCTTGTTCTTTTGGACCCTTCTGGCAACAAAATTTCTCTGTTTTTACTTTCTTCAGGCACTGACTATTCTTCTCTTACTGTTGGCACTAACTGAGCTGATCTTCACCATTGTCCAAGACTTAGGGCAACAATCAACCGCTACCAGTCAAACTCCTGCTGTCCAATACACAAATCCTGTACTCTATGTCATCACTTGGGTAAGGACCACTGGCTGCATGACAGTTAAACTTTGCTCCTTGAGTGGGAGTTGAAAAAGGTTGTGAGTTCCTTGGTGCCCCCCCCCCCCGACTCCAGCTCACAGTTTTCAGCTGCAGCCCTGTTCTGACCGGGCATGGTGGCTGAGGAGGTGACCTAAGCCAGAAGGTGGAGGTGGATTTTTGAGCACTGTGTGATTTTTGCTCTGGATTGAGTGGCGGCAGCTGAGATGATTTTTTAATTTCAACATTAACAATATGAGATATTATGATCAGTTTGCCCTGAAAAACTTCTGGTTTAGGTTTTCTCTAAACCGAGCATTCTGTGTCAGGCAATTAAGCTGTGGTTCTGAGCCCTTTTAAGATGAGCCTGTTCAGTGTGCTGAGACCTTTAAGTCCAAGTTGTCTTGGTACAATGAATATATGGAATACCTCCTTCTGTTTCCTAACCATTAATCCAACCTTAGGCCTCTACATTTTCTTTGTCTTTCTGCAGCTACTTGTTTTGTTGATCCACTATAGTCGTCGCTTTGGCACACGCAGAGACTCATGGACTCTCTTCCTCTTCCTCATCCTTTCTGTGCTCTGCGGCATGTTTCAGCTGCAGACTCTGATTCGGCAAGCAGTTCAGGTCAGTAGAAGACGCATAGGAGAGACTAGGCTGCGCAGAATGGGATCCATTTGCCAAGGAGGAGGTGGCCTCAGCAAAGGGTCCTCTGGCAGCTGTTCCTGCCCAGCCCGCACTTTGGCACTTCTTGCCACAATCACTTAAGCTAACCCAGAAACTGTTGTTCACCCTCTCGTTTAGGGCAGGCAGCAAAGCATAGAAAGAAATGTCTGTGCCAAAAATAAGCCATAGTCTGGAGTATCCTACTGCTTGGCTCCGGCTGCCTGGGCAGATGTGGGCTTTGCACCCATTGCAGGTACAGCTCACCCTTTGGTTCTTCCACTCGTAATTCCCAAGGGTTTTCCTCTCTTGCAGGGCTCCATCTCTGACATACCGCGTTTCTGCCTCTTCATTCTCTCCTATGGGATTCAATTATTCTTGGTGATCATCTCTGCAATTTCTGACATTGCCCCTGAAATGAAGGAAGCTGCAAAGAAGGTAAGAGTCTTTGGCATCACCTTCCATCCTTGTGGACTTGGGGGGGGGGGGTCACCTTTGAGATGGGAATAGCTACAGTTATTCTGCATAGTATGCCCGTGTCTCTCCAGCTTGAGGAGGCTCTCAGAAGGGGCTGGATAGGATGAGGAAACCCAGTATCTATGAGCATTCCTTGGAAAGCTTTCTATTGCAGTAGCCATACCTGGCTCTCAGGATGCACCGTGAGGTGGGTGTGGTCTCCAAACAAAGCCTTTCGTAACGTCAAGATTTTGATTTGAAAGGTAAAGGTCAAAGGAGTTGCTCCTCACCACAGGTGTCCGCTGAAATTTTCACCATGGAGTTCTGCCTTCCTTGTTTTTCAGAACCCAGAAATCACAGCTTCCTTCCTGAGCTTCATCACTTTCCACTGGTACAACAGGTAGGCAGATCTGGATGGAAACAGTAAATATATCACAGTGTGGGAGAACAGCAGTCTCTGGGTTGGAACTGAAGCTAGGGCAAACTGATTCTGTGTGGGAAAATCCAAGGACTCTGGGTCTGAAGGCCCTAACAAAGAAAGCCATATTGTGGTTTGGCTGTAAGTAATGGCAGCTGGGTGAATCCTCTTGCCAAGCTCTTGTTTTGACCCTTTACTCTGTTCCTGCTGTGTCTCAGTAGCCCTCCTGACTCTGTTCTGTGCTCACTGCTTTACTGTGTCTTATAGGATGTTGCTGAAAGGCTATAAGAAGCCATTGGAGATGGATGACCTATGGGACTTGAAAGATGCAGACAAGACAAGTCTAGTTTCAGGCACATTTGAGAAGAACATGCAAGCTGGCATTAAAAAGGCCCGGCGGGAACTGGAGATCCGGCACCGCAGGAGGAGACATAGGTCACCAATTAATGACCAAAGGAATGGCTTAAGCAAGGCCCAGAGTCAGGACGCATTGGTTCTGGTAAGTCATGCTGACCACTGAAAGCCCTCCATTTCACTCCCAAACACTCCCCACTCTGATTGAGGTGAAGAAGGAAATGAGGGAAATCTTACACATAGGATCCCTTTCCTGTAGCACCTCAGTTTACCCATATGTATGGGGTTCAACAGGATAGCTGGCTCTCTGTGATTCATGCAACCTGAAAACTCGGTCTGTTTGATTCCAAGGTAGGCTGGGTTGCTGGCCGTTAGGGGCAGATTCTAACCTTGAAGGGCAGGGTTTTCACTACTCCATACTCTGTTCTGAATTCAGGAAGAAAAAGACCAAAAACAGAAGAAAAAGAGGGTCAAAGGAGATGCCAGAGGAGACTACACAAAGTCCTGGCTGCTTGTTGCTCTGATGGAAACCTTTGCTGAGAACCTTCTGAAATCAGTGGCTTTTAAGCTGGTGTATGACTTGCTGGTGTTTGTGAGCCCACAGTTGCTGAAGTGAGTCTAGTTCAAGGTTTTCTTTTTAGGTTGTCCTTGGACTTTGATCAAGGTGGGGTTGAGAGACCAGTGTGTGTGTGTTTGTGGCAGGGAGGGAATGCATTGGCCTTGGAGTTTAGGAGAACCTTTGATAAGTGTCCACCACTTCTCATAATTCAGTATATATAGTAATGACCATCTTTATCCACACGTTTAGTGTCACCCTGAAAAGTTCACAGTTTTGAGATTGCCCACCCAATACTAGAATTAACTTTACTTGCCTGAAACTTCCATTTTTTTAAAGACAGGTTGTCCTTTGGATAATGAGGCTGATGTTATAGATATTTAACTGGAGGGGCTGCAACTCAAGTGATAGTGTACATGAAAAAAGACAGAGAGGGGGAAATTAAAGGAAAGGCTGATCCTGCAGTGGCTGCTGTTTCATGGAAAACCATTTGAATCAGGGCAGCCAATAACAGGCCCTGCCTTACAATGGCCCTGCCCGCTTCCTGAAAAGTTTGACAGGTGCCAGTGGAAGTACTGCTGGCAGCCATTGAGCCCATGAGCACCACATTGGGGAACGCTGCCCTAAACTATATGGAGTCCTTATGTTGATTTCTACTTTAAGATAGTTTCATAGACGAAGAACAGACTGAAGGCAGTGACTTGCCTATGGCCACTCTTTGAGCCCATGGCTGGGATTTAAAAAATTCTCCAAGCCTAAATGTAATAGTTGGTGACATGACCATAATAGATGTTCACTGCAGGAGGTAGGTAGTAAAACTTACTCCATTTAAGAAATTGGTCTGGCCCCTTCACTGCGGAGTAGTGATGGGTTGGTCTGTGGATTTACCAGAGCAGTGCCTTCGAGAGCCTGACTGTGCAGGGATAGGGTGAGAACCTGAATTGTGTGTGGGGGTGGGGGGGACACAGGAAGCTGACATGCAGGGTTCGGTCGAAAAATGGGTTGCAGTGAGGCTGATGTTCATGGTTGCCTTCTGTTACAGGCTGATGATCTCCTTTGTGTCGGATCAAGAGGCCTACATTTGGCACGGCTACCTCTATGCAGTGCTGCTGTTTGCGACTGCGCAAGTGCAGACTTTCTGTCTGCAGCAGTATTTCCTCCTCTGTTTCAACCTGGGCATGAATGTTCGCACCTCACTTATGGCTGCCATCTATAAGAAGGTTAGCAGGCTTCTTCACTTGGCATAGATTCTTTCCTTCTTCCTGTTGCTAGCCAGTCAGTGGCATCAATGGATGTCAGTGGGATAGACAGGGTTCCTTGTGGGTATTGCCTATAGCAATGGCAGAACTAGGGCGGAGGAAGAGAAGTATGCATCTGCTTCTTCTGGAGTCTGTCTGCTATGGGGTTCACCCTTCAGACATGGTCCTGTATCACACACAGTTACAGCACTGTGTTTCAAACTCTTGTTCTCTCCATTTGGTGCTGTGTACTTTGGGTCCTCATGGCAGCTACAGTATATACCTCCCCTCTTATTGTGTCTGCACTCAGGCCCTCACAGTCTCCAATGTCATGCGCAAGGAATCTACTGTTGGTGAGACAGTGAACCTGATGTCCGCAGATGCCCAGCGTTTTATGGACTTTACAAACTTCGTGCACCAGCTGTGGTCATCTCCACTGCAGATTGCACTGTCTATTGTGTTTCTGTGGGGAGAGTTGGGCCCATCCATGCTTGCTGGGATCGGAGTCATGGTGCTGCTTCTCCCCATCAATGCTGTGCTGGTCACCAAGGCCCGGGCCATCCAGGTTAGTGCAGGCTTCTGCTTAAGGAGAACCTACCCCTTCCCTGTCCTCATCCCCAGAATCCCTATCCGTCTTTTTACACCTCTCTGCTCCTTAGGTCCTGCGAACCCCACATGTACCCCCTCAGTGCCTCATGATGCTTACAGTTGTACAGCCTGAGGAAGGGTAACTAAGCCTGTTTCTGGCTGTTAATTACTGAGCTTTCCCAGAAGACTCAACTCTACAATCTGGGATCTGTCTTTTCTGTATATGAAAGGAGAAAAGGAACTCTTATGGGTCAGAAACTGATTTGCCCTTGATTTTCTGTGGCACTGGACCATCAGGGTGCTATATGTACGAAGCTGCTTTCTAAGGAGTCAGATCATTGGTCCATATCAGCCAATATTGTCTAACTAACTAGCAGCAGCTTTGCTGAGATCCTTTTAAAAAAAAACCCTGTATATGATAGAGACAGAACTTGGTTCTTTATGCATGCAATTACCACTAACTTATGAGCCCTGTTAAGGAAGGAGACATACCCTTAGAAAATATGACCAAAACCATTCAGGGCTTTTAAGAATAAAGCCAACACTTTGAGTTTGTGTCCAGAAACAAACTGAGAGCCACCGCCATGCTGAGCTGGCTCCTACAATGAAAAGGGGTGCTGCATTCTAGGCAGCCTTGACGGGTAGCCTCAAGTCAAAGTAGTCCAGAGGTAATCCAAGCATCTCTCAAAGTGACCATGTTGTCATTTTCTAGGAGTAGCAGTAGCTGTAGTTGGTCTATGCTGCTAAAAACTTCAGTTGATGACTGGGAATCCAAAAGCGATACCAGATCCAGCACTTCAACCAAGTTATATACCTAACCTGATTCTCAGTGGACAACTGACAAGACCCAAATCAATTGGGGTGCACCATTAATATTTCCATCTTATCTGGATTGTTTGTTTATTCACCCTCAGCCAGTCCATCCTGGTCTCTGGGCACCTCCTTTGAGCTTCTGCCTGGCTCCACTGAAAAGGAGAAAGAGAGTGTCCCCATACCAATAACTTTTTAACCCCCATCTGTAGACAACCTATCCAAAAGGTTTCAA